AATTGCGTTGTTTACGTTTAAAGTCAAAAGTAAAACTCAAAATAACTTATAGGCTTACTGTAATTAAGTTCTAACTAGTGTAATAACATTTACAGAAAGAAAAATCCAAATCATCTAAAAACTGAAACATATATTTACATTCGTTTGCCTATTGAGTTTAATGATAATTTAATTTTCCAATCAAAATAGATCATTGCTTATACCATTTCATATAATATATTTACTGTATTGTCCTAAAAATAAAGAGTATATGTGTTTCAAGTGTTATTGGACGTATTTTAATTTATTTTCCGTAAGTAAAAGTCCCCAAATTCTAAAAAATAAATATAAACATAGGCTCTGCGATCCCGTTAATCCCGGGATTAAAAGTCACCAATCCTGGGATTTCTAGGTATCGAAAATCGGCCGGGATCCCGGGATTGAGACCCCTGACACAACACGACAATGGCATGTAGACTAAATACAATAAACTTCATTATACAACAACAAAAACAACACAAAGCACGTGGATATTGGCGCCGCACAACGTTGTGTCTTGCTGAGGCGGGCTCAGTTCGGCGACTTGTGTGACGTAGCGCCCGAAATGGAGGGGGTAGCTCCGGCCTGTAGTGTAGTGCGGTCTTGGTAGTACAAATTTCTTAGGATATGAAATGGACAACAATAATTTTTTTTTTAGTAATTAAAATGATTGCTCAAAAATATTTAAATGTTTGAGTTCGCTACTACTGTAAAATAAAGCACGAAAGTCTTCACAAAAATAAAGTCAGGGAACACCTAAAAAAAACTGTAATTTTTCTGGGACAATAAATTGAGTGTAATTTTACAAATATTTGGGAAGTTTTTTTTTACTTACAGGATTATCTTTAGTTTATCTTGGATGATATTGAAAGCTAATTAATCATTAAAAAGCTGTGCTAAACGGTTAAAAATTCTTCATAGACAATATATTTGAAAATTATTTAATATATACAATATGACAGTACACAACAGTATAAATAAAACATTAAAACACTGCACGCTAAATGTATAGACGACGGGCCGGCGAGGCAGCGGGCGTGGCGCGGAGCAGCGGCAATGGACCCCTTTTGTACCTGATTTTTTTTTTAAACCGAACACGAAAAAACATTTTGATGAATCGGATAGTTAAATTTGGTTATTTATCCACAAATTTCTCGCTGACAAAATTTCTCTGACCAAAAAATAAAAAATTTTCTCACAATACAACTTTTTCATGTCTGAATCTGAAAAATTTAACTACATAAGTGTTAAACATATTTATAAATCAATTACTATCATAACTAATAATTTTATATTAACACCATCGTTATCCTCAGTATCATATCTACAAGTGTGCAAAATTTCAGCAATTTTTGTCAACTATTTATGTTGTTTATGATCGTGTATTTATCGCGGGGTTTTTAATGCGAACTGTGCTAGCGGGTCTTGGATTCAGGCCGTAGGACGGACCAAGATGGCGGATTTGGCCACACTTTCAGTGCATTTGGTTAAACGCCATGTCTTCTCTATTTTATTATGTGCTCGCTGAGTTCAACCGGACTGGATCGGCAGGAAGTGGAAAAAACTTAAACAACTTCTCGTGGGAAAGAGTTAAGACCAGTGATAACATGTCTAAATACAATAATCCTCTAAATTTTAGTAAAATATTGCGTTATATATAACTCATAAAATTCCATTTTGAGATTGGAAAAGCCACGAAGCCACCACTTACATTCAAAAAATATAAACATGTAATCTCTTCTTATACACTCTCGTGCATAAAAGTTAGTGTAGTTTTAGGGGACATCGGTTTTACTGGAAAAAAAACCTGTCAACATGGTCCCGAGTCGTCTGGACTGTATGTAAGAGTGAGTGTACTGTATTTTTGTTCTATGGGTTTCTTTCATTAAAAGCAGTAAAAGCAGTTCTTCAATTTTTCAATCCGCTATTATTTCTTTTCTACATACAGGTGAATACAGTCCACTACCAACTTAACTGTTAACTGTTATTGTTGTATTAAAACACAACAATATTACTCTAAAACTTCCTTTTCCCTTCAGACCTGCAGTTGAATTTCCAATGGCTTTATCAAGCACACTAAAACAGGTCTACGATGAAATGAAGTTTACACCTAGGTCTGTTACACTTACCTTCCTCCCCCTGCCATAAATAATATGGATACAATGAATATTTTAGTTAACTACTTTGAAAAAATTATTTTGTCATTAAAATGTTGAAAGTTTACAATAGAGTGAAAAAATAGACGAAATTGTATGAGTATACAACATACATTAAACAAGTAATATACAGCAAATTATTTGTTTAAAGGTTTATTGCAGACATTTTCCATCACAATAGTAAAATACAGTTTATAGTTCGGCCGCTTAGAAAACGACCTCCGCGCTAATGCTAAACCAATGCTGGAGGAGGTCGCTTTCTAAGCGGCCGAGCTATAGTAGAATTATTTTATTTTACCATTGTGGTGGTAACTGACCACAATAAACCTTTAAACAACATTAACTCACTATCACCAATAACGACTTAAACAAATTATTTATTTTCCAAATGGTAGATCACTGTTAAAAATCCATAACTTGAAATATGTTCTAAAATGAAATATATGGAATTTTATGAGTTGCAACACAACATGACGTGAAATTTTAGGTGGTTTATCCTACATGTTTAAAGTTTGCACAAAAATAATAAAACAAATTTCCAGTGTTATCCTTATGAGACAAAAATGTCAATTTTATTTGTCGGTTATTTGTTTACGAAACAGATCTCTCCCAACCAACAACAAACCTATTTAAGAGTTTGTTCTAAAGAATATGTAGGTTGAATTTATGTTACGTTGAATTTTGGAACCTGTAAATGTGTTCTTGTGTTACGATAAAAAAAAAACGTAAAGAAAGTTATCTTTGCTGATCTGTATGAGATCTGTTAATTAATTTAAGTATAATTTTGTCATGTAATTTTTACTATTTTATATATAAAAAAAGTACAGTTAGGGTTAAGCAAATAAATTTCTTGCATAGAATACAAATGGGACTATTGCATCTTTTGTTAATAAGTTTGGGGTTTTCTAAAAGTTGACCTACAAACATATTTTAAGAACAGAACCATGGAGTTTAGCTTCAAAATTCATGAGTTGTGCATTTTATTTAGTTGCACGAACTAAGGTGAACAAAATTTCTTACAGGTTTTTGGGCAGTTGTGATTCAATGTTAAAGTTATCAATCTTCAATCAGATCTTAGTTGATTTTGGATACCTACAAATTACAAGGCTGCACTTTGTTATGAAATCGTGTGATTTGTTACTTTGGCGTTGGTGTTTAACCTCATGTTGTGAATTATTTAAATTACTATTTACGGAATGAACATTTACTTATTATCTCTTGATTTTCATTTGGTCATAATTTTTCTGCCACGGATGTTAGAACCAAATAACTTTAATTTTTCTATGATTTTTTTCCAATAACTTTGTTGGTGTTTATAGCTTTTAGCTGTTAATTAAACATTGTAAATAAAAGGGGGAGCATTAATATGTTGGGTATGGCAATAGGTTGTGAGAAGCATGTTTGTATAGGTCTTGAATACTGCAAGAAATATTTTGAAATCCTGTCTTACACTTTTTTATTGTGCCCAATAAAAATGTAAAAATTACTTTTTTACAAATACAATTTCAAAACTATCCACTTGAATTTGTAGTTTGCTCCAATAATAGCTCCTTAACAATTTTAGCCTAAATTCAGTAATCTAGAGACTATTTCGGCATGAAATATTTGATATTCTTCCAGAATGGTAACCATTGAAGCCATTAAATATATGACGTTCATTTCAGTTTATTCATAATATTTTGAAAAATATCTCTTTCAGATAGTCAATAATAATTTTTTGTATTACTGTAAAATGTAAATTAGACAGTGTTTCTAGGCATTTTCCCACAGTTTCTTTCAAAGTTAAAATAAAAGTGTTTTTAGTTTGTTATATGCGAGTTTATTTTTGAAGTACAGTTATTGAGTATAATGTTAACAAACTACAAAACAAATAGGCCTACTGTGCTCAATTATACTTAGTTCACTAAATTTAGGCAGTTTGAAAAGATGTTCCCCCACCACTTTTTTCTTATTATATAATATATATGTAGCAGCTGATTGACGTTTTTGGCAACCACCAGCTGTTGAGTTATTATTTTGATGGTAGGCTAAACAAGTGCTGGGGATAGATTTCTTCCCCTAAAACCGCCTACATTTTGTGAACAAAGTATAGGGGAGGTAATTTAATGTAAAATATTGATATTAAACATTTTTGGGTAAGGTAAAAACATTTGCTGAATGTCTCGCTTGTGGATGAAATAGGGATAAGTAAACCTTCCCCACTTGGATGCAGCAGTATCTACAAATAGTTATTTGTGCAACTAGTGAGAAAAGTGAGCAATTGACTCACTCGAGAGAAATCCTTACTCACGAGCCGTAGGCGAGTGAGGAATGGTTTCGCGAGTAAGGCAATTGTACTTTGAACTCGAGTTGCACATTATACTTTTCCTACAGTTACCATAAAACAAATAAATTTGTGAAGAAACATAACCTATTTTTACACAGAAGTGAACTTTTAATATAACATTTAATGTGAAGTGACAAATACAACAGTACAACAGCTGACCAGCTGATTTACAGACAGTGCTGCCAACGTATTTCGCGCGCATACGACGGTGCCTGCATGTTACGCGCTCACTATTTCGTGCCTTTGCGTTGCAAATCTGGAGTGAGACAAAGTAATTAGAGTGAGACAATGTTAACATTGTCTCACTGATGAGCGAATTGGCTACTTTGCTTTCTCAAATCAGTGAGAGAATATGTACATTGTTAGGTAACTGTAGGAAAACTATTGATTCTGAACCCAACCTCGATTGAACTTTTTTTATTATTTTTTACGATCCTTGTTCTTTTTATCATAGTTTTACAAATAACATTAGCAGTATATGAGAAACTATGTTGTTTTAGGAGCAGCCCCTGCTGCTCGAAGACCTGCTGGAACAAGAGAAGAGAGAACAAGAGAAGCAGCAGGCCGGGGTGACTGTGGGGACGGCGGGGGTAGAACCTCCGGCCCCGACACCCCCGCAGTCATTGCTCAGTGATGCTGATTTTGAACGACTCAGGGCTGATGTATTAGGCACCGCTACCAATGTCGGGGCTTCCCCTCCACATTCCATACCAAGTGAGTCACTCAAGACGGGATATTAGTAACATGTGAGGTGTTGTAAAATGAATATTAAAATACACATGGATCCTAACGGAATTGTTTGAGTAATCTATTTCTTAGAAGGATCCTCGGGTAAAAGAGTAATGTCCTCAAAAATTTCAGCAGAAAAACCTTTAGGCAGTAGACTATGTGAGTTTTAGCTATGATCGCATGATTTTTAAAACAATATCTTGTAAAAGGAATTGGCCTTATCTAGTTTTTTGGAAGTCAAGTAAACCTGCCTGTGACGTCGCCACTGTGACGACGTCTTAACTTGACAGGAGACGGGACTAGTGAAAATAAAAACTACTATATTAGTTAATACCACGGGCTGCACGGACCGGGATAGAGGTGTAACGGTTGCTGGACTAGAACAGACTGACGTAGTGGTTAGATACACGGGTATAGTGTGGTCACGGCAGCCAATGGGAATTTATTAAAAATCACCTGATATGACGTCACAGACGTGGCATGATATGGTGTGATGTACACACACACTAACACACATTTACATTTTATACAAATCTGGTTTCCTACAAGAAACGCTGTTTTACAAATATTGAATACATAAAATCATAAAATATACTACACTGCCCTACCTTTACATCCTAGGACGCTAGGCTCCAACTCAGAACCGTTCTGTGCGTTACTTCAGGCTAGTTCTAGAGGGTCGCAGAGTTATAACTTAGATTAACCTAATAAATAACCATGATAGATAACGTAAGTGTACCTTAATATGAGGGTCGTTTTTAAAGTAAGGGCTGTTTTTGCAGTTCTGTAGTTTGTATGTATGCCGCAATGAGGTGGCTCACTGTTTACTGGCATCAATGATGAACAGAATGGAGCCATTTGAAACTTCGTAGCTAATGTTTACAGTGTGTTTCAAAAATTTTAAATTTTTTAATCTCCCGTTCTTTGACCATAAGAAACATATAAGATGCCGACATGCATCGCCAATAGGGCCATACTTCAGTCATCTGGCGATGAATGTCTGCAGCTGATATGTTTCTTGCAGTCAACAAACATATCACTAGCCTTATCTCCATGCGGAGAGAGATTCAATAATTAAAAAAAATTTAAAACAACAAAGCGTGCACGTCGGCTACGGAGTTGCAAATGGCACCATTCTGTTCACAATGAGTAAACAGTGAGCTGCCTTGTTGCGGCACTCACACAAACTACGGAGCTGTAAGCAAAAACGGCCCTTACTTAAAAACAGCCCTTGTAATAACAACCCTTAGACAGACTCTCAGGTATGGATGTTCTGTTGCAGCTCAAGGCATGTTGGTGAGGCCAGGGTACATGCCTCCACGACCACCTTCACAGCCTCCTCAATGGCAGCAAGGTCCTCCTAGAACACCAGCACCAATCACGCCCCCAGGTGAAACAGGTACGCATCCCTGTTGACTATAAACAGATAATGAATTTTTTAACATTGCAGCCAGTTAATAGAGGACGTTCTCTGAACCACCATTGTGGGTCATTAATTAAATACATCGCCAACATTTGGAGGTGAGCCTGTGATTTTTTATCTAGCAGAGCTTTTTTATATCATGAATTTTATGTAATGCCATACAATAAGTTAATTTGTTACAAACTTTTATAATGCAATTTTTCGTTATGATTCAGAGTTAAATATATATTTTTTATGTACATAAAAGAATGAAACAATAAATTAAGCTTAGGCCAAGTGACACGTCATTTTATTTTCTTTAAAGGTAATGCTTTCTAAATAAAAATTAGTACAGTTATAGACTAAAATATGAATAAATACTCTAACAGTAAATGTATATTCCATCAATAAAAACTAAACTTATTATTTGTTAATGAACTTACTAACACATCAGCATAAAAGTTACTATTTGAAAGATGTGTGGTAAAAACTTTATAATCAAAATACAAGAATAACAATGTTATATTGGGCTGTAACACAGAGCACAAGAACCTAGGTTTTCAGAATCTTTTTAGGATAGTAGGCTTACCTGAATGGGAAAGAGTCCAAACTGGCACAAGAAAGATAAAATAATTACAGTATACACAATACAATATTTTACTGTCACTGACAGCATTTTCAACTTACGAAGATATAGTTTTTTCAGGCCCAATGTTGGCCAGAAAATTATTCTTCTATAATAAATAACTTCAAAACTCAAACTCTTTGTTTGCCATAAAAACATTACAAATTTGAGCATAGCTCATGTAACAGATGGCATGTCAATTATAACTAGAGTGTAAATTAATTATTAAAAAATCAAATATAATGGATAAGATATAGTCTAACAAAAATGAAAATATATACAGTACAACCCCTGACTCAGACAGATGTGCTCATTTAAAAAAAAATCGTCCACTTTATAAGGACATATTGCAACTAGATGAGTTTCCAGTTTTTTTTTTTTTATTGTGTTTTTTTTATATTTTATCTCTGGTGGAAGGTGATTAAACAGTTTAATTGCCATGTAATATGGACCCATCTCCTAAAGAGACAATCTATGTTTAGGGTACCACAGAGTGTCTGTGTTTCTTGTACCCTGAGTCCCCAGACTGTTGTTTGAAAAATATTGTTGATGTTTTTTTAAAGAATTTCAGAACTTCGAAAATATAAAGAGCTGGTACAGTTAATAGTTTAGAAGTTTTGAAATATTGTTTACATGATTTTCTAAGTTTTAGTTTAAACATTGCTCGAATGGCCTCTTTCTGTAAATTGAATATGTTGTCAATTACTGATGTTCCACCCCAAAGGATGATGCTGTACCTAACAATTGATAAAGAATAACCATGATAAACCTGAAGACATGTCTTTATATCTGAGATGTTGGCTATAGTTCTAATAGCATGAAGAGATTTATTAAGTTTCTTTTTGTATGGCCAGAATTTGATCATTCCATTTTAAGTTGTCCTGAAGTGTAAAACCTAAAAAGTTCACACTAAGGGAATTTTCACAAAGTTCTTCATTTGGCATGAGGAATTCCTCATTTATTTGTTTGTTTCTATTGTTAGAAGTAAAAGCTAAGATTTTTGTTTTGGAGCAATTCAAACTAAGACAGTTTTTGGATAGCCAGTTAGATATTTCTTGGAGAGTATTTAAAAGCTTTACTTTTGGTATTTGTTTGTTTTGACCCATAATTATTGCTGTAGTGTCGTCTGCAAAAAGATAAAATGGAGTATTAATGTTTATTGGCAAATCATTAATGTACAACAGAAACAATACTGGTCCTAAAATAGATCCCTGTGGCATCCCACAGACAACCTCCCTCCAAGTTGAGAAGTGAGCAATTCTGTCATCATCGAACATTTTAACTCTTTGGAATCGTTTTGTCAGATAAGATTCAAACAGGTCATGTGCTATGCCTCTAAATCCATAATAACTCATTTTGGTTAGCAGCAGTTCGTGGCTGACACAATCAAAAGCATTGGACAAATCACAGAAAACTCCAAATGTTGTCTGCGATTCATCCAAGGCCCTCAACAAGTCACTCACCAGCTCAAATACTGCCATCTGGGTTGATCTTCCCTGTCTAAAACCGAATTGTTTTTTGTTAATAAGATTATACTTTTCTAAATGAGTGACCATTTGATTTAATATAATCTTCTCCAACATTTTTGTAAATGATGGAAGCAGTGCTACTGGTCTATAGTTATCTAAACTTCAATTACAGTTCTTCTTATAAATTGGAAAAATGTTGGAAAATTTTAGTTTGTCAGGATAAACTCCAGTATGTAATACAATTTTTCAGATGTGCACCAATGGAGTCAAAATGATACTACTAATTTCTTTAATTAATTAAACTGGGATTTCATCCCACCCAGATGACTGTTTAGCCGACAAGCTTGCTATGGTCTTAATCATATCTATTTTTGTGATTGGACTAAATGAAAAAGTTAAGCTTTGTACCTTTGCATTACGGTATTTATGTAATTTATTGCATCCTGAACTGAACCCCCGATGGAAGACTGTTGCCCCACATTACTAAAATGGTCATTAAAAACAAAAACAAACCTCAGGTATATCTCTTGGACCCTTTACAATGTTATTGTCACCAATTAACAACTCATTACAATGAAAACCATCTGAGATAAATCCAGTCTCTTTCCTAACTACTTGCCACATGTTGTTTTTGCAATATTATTGGAATGCTTGATTTTTGAAGATATACTTTTTTTCCTGCAAATACAAGTCTTTTAAAGATCTTTTTGTAGTTTCTATAGTACATTTGAAAACTTGGGTCAGAAGTCTGCTTTGATTTTTTATGGAGTTCTTTTTTATTCCTACTTGAGATTTTTAATCCTTTTGTCATCCAGTCACACCCATATTTAGACTTTTTATTTGAAGTGAATGTTCTAGTTTGAAAACATTGCAAAAACAAATCATAGAATACAGAGAAAAAACTGTTATAAGTTTCATTACTATCTACCGAAGACAAACGCATAGACCAGTCCTCCTTACTTAGATTAGAAAAATGTTCAATTATTTTCTTAGAACTTAACAATCTAGTTGAAATAATTTCCTTCTTAGTAGCTATATTATTGTTTTTTACGAACAATAACTGAGCAGTGTGATCAGATAAACCCAATGCAAAAGTCCTTCCTGGCCACAGCAGCACTTTCTTTCAAAGGGTCACTTCAACTCAATAATCTTTCCTAAACCTAGCTACAACTTTATAATGATGAGATTTTTAGCTACGTGTATTCATTATGAAAGTTGTTAGAGTAATATGTTCTCCCATTTACTCCTTTTTCTTGAATTTGTATATAAATCCTAACTTTAACAAAACACAACTGAAAAAAGGTGTTTTTACTTTGAAGGTCTGCGAGTGCCGTTGTTCAACGCTCAGGTTCTACCCTCCCCACCACCCCCTCCAGATGTGATCTCTACCGAGGAGGACAGACGGGCTCAGCTGACGTACGAGACATGGCTCAACAATCAGAACCAGCTTGTCACACAGCAGCTCAAGTACTACGAGACCGAGGTGCTAAAGTTACGCAAAATACGCAAGGTACCCCCTCCACCACTCTGACCACTCTGTGCTAATGGTGGAAGTGATCCTCAACCCTCCAAGTCATTATACGTACAGATTACCAGTCGGTCGGATTAACAAGAGTTTACTGTATTTCTGTACCTGATGTTGAGTCTAGGGTCTTCCTCTCAGTGTCCACAAAATTTAAGACACTTTTTTTTATAGAAATCTTGTATAAATTGATGAGAATCAAATTTGTTGATATAATTATCATATTACTTTTCACCAGGCTAAAATGTTCAGCTGTTTTTGTTCTCAATTAACAAAATAGTGTTTTGCAAATATGGGCCAACAATTTGTGTTTTGATCCTCTGGATCAGCTGTTAATTTGTTCAGGTAAACATTCAAAGTTGACAAAAACATACAAATTAATCGTAACTTCATTATCTGCTCTGTCGTTGGCTAGTTACCATAATCTAAAAAGCAACATGTTGTTTTATTTGTTGTTATATTTATTGGTTTTGTATACTAACCCAAAACTTTTATCCTCAATAAATTTGAATTATTGTCTAATTTTTTTTACTTTACAACTCACGGATCATTTTTTAGTGTAGTTGAAAAAGCGTCCTCACCTCTGGCCCAAGGTGTTTTGCAAGCTTTCGATCTTGAACTTCCCCTCAATGCGAAATACAATACATTTACATCACCAGGAACCATTGGCACTTTTTGGACATCCCTTCAAGAATTTCCTGGCACTTTTTGTTTCCAGCTAGGCTGTTTGCTTTCCAATAAAATAGTTTTCAAGTGATTTTTGGTCAGTTTAGTATAGTGAATCCGATTTGAGAGGTAAAATTTACATTAGTCAAATATTTTAAATTGTAATCCCTTCTGTTCACTTTGAAAGACAAATAAGTAGGCCTATTTGTAATTGCTAACAGCACCCACAAGTGCGAGAATTGCTTCTTGGAGGGTTGAGTAAAGGGGTATGTGTTGGGTTGATTCCTTGAGCACATTTGCCATTATTTACATTAAAATAAGCCTAATATAGATCATTAAACTAGGCCCTATATCTTTTACTAAAAATATTCTTCACTAAAACATTTCTGCTCTTCCGAACAAGTTCAGAATCAGACTAAATTAGATGCTGGGTAAAAAATAATCATTAATTTTTTTTATCATGGAACCTAATATTTTCATTCAAATTCAAATCAATTTTAAAATTATTCCGCTGTTGTCTTTGAAACGTAAGCATTAAATTTAAATTTAACTGAAAAATGAACTAATGTTCAATATTTTAAATTATGCAGAATATTTATTCAGCTAATTTTTATTTAGGTGTTAACTTTTTATTCATGAGTGGTTCAGGGGGCAATTGCTAAACTTTAAGTCAAAATGTAGTTTTATTTTTCTGATTTTTAAACAATAATTTTTAGAATACAGTAATGCGATTATGAGATTTTTCTTAATGTTTAAGTTAAGTTTTGTTCGTGTTGCTATTGATATATTAATAAGAACTAGCTTGTTACCATTTCTTTATTAGTTTTGTTAATCTAGCAATTATCTGTAGAAAGAGATTTGACCTGTTTAAATTATATAAAAGGATACGAGTTTGAGAAACTTTTAAGTACTTAAGAATTTACTCCATTTTTATTTTAGTATGCCAATATTCAATTTTTAAGAATTTAATTTCAAATGTGATTTATTAATTTTTTTACTTTTTTACCACTTTTTTATTAAGATCCCTATGTACTACCAGGTTAGCTGGAAATTCTAATCAAGTCTCAATTAAAACATTTTTTTTATTCTCCGAATTAAGTAGTGAGTTTTTGAACCACTGATTGTCTACATTGTCAAATAAGTTTAAGAGTAATAATAATACCTTTTATTTTGCCCAGCTCCATAATTGTTCTGCCAATCCTCAAGCTGTGTTGTGTAGTATTTGTTGATATTTTTACTTATTCTGCTTCTATTTCACTGATTTCTATCTCTGAATGATTCTCGCATAGGTTCTTATTGTAGCTTTGGTGTTCTGGAAATTATCTCCTTCTATTACTGATCTTTTAAATATTTTATATTTCAAAGCAAGTGCACAATCCAATTATATGTTTTCCCTTTGTGTTTGGTTGGTGTTTTGCCTCCCTTATTTTGCTTTAAAATGTATAATCAGTGTTTTAAACATGTACTCTGTAACTGAATAACATGTGGAATGTATGTGTGTATTGTTTACATTTGATGACAAATATGATTGGATTAGTTTGACAAAATTGGTATGATGTTTAGTTTTGAAAATTACGAAGATTTAGAAATACGAGATTAATATAATCAATTAATAAATCAAAGATTAATGTTGATCTATAAAGAAACAAAAGTTTCGCCTAGTGTGGCAGCGAAAAAAGATTGTGCCACCACTCCATTTTGAACAATGGAGGTTTAATTTAAATTCATCATCGCAAAGCTATGTCTACTGTGATACTCAACTCAAGTGAACATTACTCAAGTGGCAACGACTGGTGTGCATTTTAAGTAGAAATTTGCTGAACAGAGGTTAAAATAGTAATGTATGTTACTTTCTAGATTGCTCTTGTAAATACAGAGTATACAAAAAAGATTGCTGGGATTTTAAACTGTTATTGCTTGAGGTCTATTCAAGATAAGTAAACTATTTAAACGTTAACCCTCCCAGTGTTACTTGACGAAAATTCGACAAGCAGCACACTTTGTGTAGTGTTACTTGTCGATTTTTCGACACGCAGACATCGTTTACGGCGAAGGCTCTATGACTGACTGAATCGGATTGAACTGGATCGAGTTAGGTATCGTTCTTTCCGTAATATTCTAAGCTTTCTCCAGAGGTCTGTCTCTAAGCGCTATTCATTTTAGTTCCGAAAATATTGTAGCAGACAGCTGACGTGCGTGTATTTGTAAACAGCTAGGTTCCCCCGGACCGATGACTGATGTGTTTTATTACGTTTATCATTGTTTTAGTGTTAAAAATCAAAAGTAGTGATATACGTGGTGCATTATAAGAAGATTTAAGTGGTTTTGAAGTGCTGGTTGATGATCCTGAAGAAGTAGGTAGTGATATTGATGTAAATTATCAGCCAGATTCCTAGCTATGGTTAGGCTATGCATTCTTAGCTAAACGCTATGTACTGAAATCAGTTTTTTGCCCATAACTTATTTATTTGCAAATATACTTCCTTATATTATTATATATTTGTAATCCTCATAAAAGTTAGAACAAAGTGGCTATTTTCAAATATTTATAGGCCTATAATTTATACAATTTCATTGAGCGCGAACTTATTTTTTTTTTGAAAATTTTCGAAATTATATTTTTTTTACCTAAAAAGTTTTTTTTTGAAAAAATGTTCCTTATGTTTTATATATAATATTGAAGCCCATGATTTTCCAAACAAAATGGTATATAGAACATTAGAATTAACATTGTTTTAAGCTTCTCAGATCCGTTTTAATAAAACCTTGCAAATGCGCCAAAAATAGGTGGACATTAAGGCCTAAACTATGGACACTTGGAGGGTTAATTTTGAGTTGAAATAACAAAGTTCTGTTTTCCGTGTAGCAAGGGAGGAAATGTTGACCTTGGCATGCGTAAAACATGTGTGCGGTGGCAGACCGTCATTGTGTTTAGTGTGCAACAGAAGTCACAGTGTGATGTGTGGTTCACAGAGTTTAAATAGATTATTAAATTAAATTAAATTTAAGTTCACCCGATAATAAAGTAATACGTTACTGGTTTAACCTGTTTTGTGACACAGTAAGTGTTTTAAAGGGCATTCTAATGGCTGGCCAAAAACAAATTATGGCAAAGTCAAAGAAATCCGACAACCATGCATCAGACACCTGAAAAATTGATTGCCCGATGAAGTCTTCAGTTAAATATACCGAAATTGATACAACAAAATGTTATCCATAAAAGGTTAAGACTTTGTGCCTACAAAATTCAGTTAAATGTGCGTTTTTCTCCAACTTCAGTAACCGCGCAGCGTGGTACGCGGTTAAGCTAAAGAACGTAGCGCGGTCAGGATCAGCATGGTTAACAAAAGTGTTTTCCTACAAATCTACCAATGTGTTGCGTGACAATCAAATAGGGTTCTGTTATGGATTGGAGATTGAAGTGTCCCCATTTTATGTTGATGGTCGAAGTGGTAGAGATGAATTCTAACCGGCAACCGCGAAGCACGAAGTAAGCTGTTTAACTGGCTTAACCGCGTTGCTAGGAAAATGCCGCTTAAGACATCAGATTAAACCCGCAGACTTTGCCAGTTTTATGCTCGCTCATGTGAAATTGATGGCAATCCGAATTTTATTACATTTTCCCAAATGTTATCAAAGTATGAAAAAATAAATACTTGGTTCTTTTCCCTTCAATTTGACATTTAAATCATGTCATTCGTCCCCAATCAACCACCGTTAATCCCGGCAATCTTTTTTGGAGACCCTGTAGTTTGTACACCCTGCTGAATTAACTTGTTATTTTATATGTTCGCTGTGTGTGGCAGTTGCCAGTGAATGCTTAGCTCTTTATTGCCGACTTGCATCTATCTCGTTTAGTTGCTATGTGCCTGAACATTGGTAAGGTTTGGACCGATAGTTTAGTGTTTTTGACATATAGCAGAGATGCATAAATATACCTGTGACCTATAGCAGAGATGCATACTGTAACGTTGGAGCTAAAATTACAGTAGCAATTCTATCACCGCTCATAAACTACCCACAGCAAGGCTGGATAAGTGGAAAGATCGAATATGCTCACAGATTAAATAACGCAGTAAATTAAATTACAAAACCCCTTGTAAAAATGATAAAAATTGTATTTAAACTTCAATAACTTTAAAAAAGATCTGTAATGAAATATCACATACAGTGAAACCTCGATTACAAGACATCCTTGATAACTAATGTAATTTTCAAATTCCTTTGAATTTATTTTACCTCTAACCACGTGTTATTGCAAACCTCAATAAGAAGTCGTCCTTGACAACAACAAGTCGTATTTAATAATCCCCATGAGAGTTCATCGAGGTTCTACTGTAATAATATGTATATTTAACTCAAAAACTAAATTTAAACCTGGTTAAATGTTTGTAAATGGCTTTTTGCTTTCCAAGTTTTTCGTGTTTTCTAGCCAAACATGTGAAAATTTTTTTAAAGTATAGTCAGGTGCAGACGCTTAAAGCCTGGTGCATATCCTCAAGTACTGTCCAGAGCGATGAAAGTGGTTGTCTCAATGCAACCACTATAATAGTGTACAGTCAACTATAATAGTGTACAGTCATGCCACACAAAAATAGCACACCATCTCATGGTACTTGACCAACCACAGGGAAAGTTCAGATAGCCAATGATTGGATAAACAAAACTTTACTAAAATTAAATACAATATTTTAATGCCGGCGGCGGTCTATGCATGCCAGGCCAGCCATGAGCAACAGCCATTATTTTCGTCGCTGGGAAAGTGTTAATAGTTAATTATACATTTACCTATCTATTCCTTTTAAAATTTGGATGAACAATATCAAAAAAAGTTGTTACATAAAAGCTACCACATAATTTTATATGTAGTATCTTAAGCTCATTATCTTCAGTTTTCTGTCTACATCTGTATGTATATTTTTATTTGCGTGTCTGTTTTTTGTTGCATGATGAAACATATCTAAGATGTAGACTTTTAAAATTTCGTCAATCATTGATTATTGATACTTCATGACCTCCATACAAACCTGAGTCTAGAATCTTCCGCCATTCACCATCGTGAATTTTGGTAGCAAAATCTTTGCAAAAGACTTCCTCAATTGTTTAAAGATACCGAGATTCACATTCTGAAAAATGACAAATTGAATCAAATCCTGTCACAGAAATAGCCATAACAACCGTGATAGCGAGTGTCGATGAAGATGTCCCCGCGATCGTGTGGAAGATGATCTCAATTGGCTTTTGCAGGAGACAGGATGATAATGTATCTGTGATTGCAGAACGCAATCACAATTCTGTGACCATTATAGGAGAAGATTATGTGTCCATGATCGCAGAATTGTCCAAAAATTCACCTCGTTTGAGGGAGCTGTCCAGGATTGTGTTGCTATTCCGAGAAGATTATGATGTCCCTGACATCGTGAGATAACGATAGTTTCGGATTACAATCATGATGTCGTAGGACAGTTCAATAAAACTTAAAATGTATTATGTTTGTCATTATAGCCGGTATGCCGTTAGCAAGAAATTTAACCAAACATTTTCAGAACAAAGTCACGTTTCCCTTTTTGCACTGTAAGAACAAATTCTGTCCCCTCTAAAAGTGTAATCCTTTAGTATTTTTGTTTCATTTGGTCATTGTCTCAAAGATGGAATGGATTTGTGTATTGGCTTAAGTCGTTGGCATGTAAAAATAAAATAAATATTGTCAGTTCTATTATGAATGTGCGTGCCAAATCGTTGAATTCCTATGGCGTTAGAGCATTTTTATTTCATGATAATATTAAGGGAGGAGGCAGATATCTCTCGGGTCCATAGCGTGTCACTTGTTTGTAAACCGTGGGCCTGCACTTGACAATATTGCTGTGGTGTCCCTACCACTTCCCGCTTATGGGTACTGCTTGATCTGTCTTTGATACGTTATTCAATTTATAAACTTAAGATGCACCTTTTTTGCTATTTTAGCAATTGCAATTCATGTTGTTACGTCCCATGTTTGCAAGGCCAATTAAATTTTGTCTGTGAATGATTGCATTCAAAACCGCGTAAAAACCAGTCAGCTAGGACATTGGTGTGCTATAATTGGGTTCAATGTTAATCATGTGAATATAAACAAACCTAAAAATCTTCCAATTAATTCAATCACAAAAGAAGATTCCCTGACGTATAGATCTCAGAATGCCTGGGTTCCCCTGTGGCCCTGTTCGCATTTTTATTAGTAATTTTTCAATATCTAGAACTCAGCTTATACCATCAAATGTTTTAAAATGTATGTTTGAGCTATGTACATAAAATTGGATACCTTTGGTCTGTAAAAATGCTTTTGCCGTTTTTGCTGTTGCTACAATACTAGGTTGAAATATTTTCTATTTCTTTAGAAACTGTACATTTTTCCTTTGTATATATTATAATACTTATTATAATACTTTATACCCACATTTCTACAGCACTCTTGTTATTTTATAATTTTTTTTTTTTTGAGTGCTACAAATTAATCCAGTGTTCCACCAAGTATTGATAGACCTACCGGTACTTTAGACTAAGGTAACCAAAAATTATTTCTGTGGCAAGAAACCGGTTTAAATGAGCTAAAAAGTTGGGATAAATTGATGAATTTTAATTCTTATTCCATGAAATTCATTATTGATTCAAAATTCAATTATATAAATAAACAAACATCCTGTTACATGGTAACTTTAAACCTAGATATTTTGTGTTAAATTATAAAGTCCTAACATAAATAAATAATCTTCTAACGTTTGTGAATGGTAAAAGAACCAGAAATTTATATAAATTTGTTTATTCTCCATCAAGATGTAATGGGAGACCAATTACCCTGTTTAGCAATCGGAATATTTCAGTAACCAAAGGTGTAGAGAATAACTTTCCATACAAATTATATGTCTTGGTTCAAAATTTTGGGTAAACAACAGAATAATCGATTTTAGGAGACAAAACCCCCTCCCATATTCAGATCACGTTATGTTTTCAAATTAGTACTGGTTTTCAGAAACACTAAAGTACAAATTCGGACAGAAGTTTATCATACATACAGTAACAGCTGCTTCCCTTAGAATTGTTTTATAATCAGTCCTATCACCGTTCAGTCTAAAATTTAAATAAATAACTCATCGTAAGCCTTAATAACGCTAATGTAATTTAGCAACACGCCGAAATAAACGGATCACGATGATACTGTTTACTGTTTACAATAATATAAATTGAACATACTTGATTTATTGCAGAGCCTTAACAGTAAACAGCGTCAGTTGCGGAAGAACGGCAATGAGCTTGCGGAGAATGATGCAATGGAGTTGCAACGAGTGACGTCAGAGCAACAAGTTTTGCAGAAACAACTTGAGTCATCAAGAAAACAGTCTCGCCAACATAACATGCTCATGCAGGTTAGTAGCGTACATTGGAAATCCTCGAATTCAAGCAGATGTTGACATTTGATCTATTTGCATTGATCTTTTTTTGTATAAAAGGATGTATAGTAGAACCTCGATTAACTGGTGGGGGCGGATCAACTGTGGTCAATAGATGCCTCTTAAATTAAGTTACATAACCTCGAAAAATCCCTAGAAAATTGTATAAATTGTAATTCTTCAGTCTAATAATCTAATTCACTGTATATTTAACTATTTCTGACCATTTTTATATGCAGTAGGTTCCCCCATTATTGTTCTTTAAACATCACAGTTCATTTGACAAACATAAATAAAAGGAAAAACAAAGAAATGGACATAAAGAGTTTCAAGGTCAAGCTATCCGCTTGCACTTAGTGGTGGGAATCACCGGATTAAAATAACCGAATCAATCGGTTATTGATGCTGAACAGACTAATTCGGTTATTTTATTCTATCCTGATTCGGTTAAGTTAGTCGTACCAAGCGATTTAGTTGATTTAGTTTGTCACATCATCAGGTAACTAAAATTTATTCGGCGATTCGTTCGACTAAAAATCACCGATTGACGCTAAATGACTAAATGCTATTCAGTTTCCCATAAGATAAAAATTAGTTGTGGTTTGGGATAGTGAATAATGACTAAAATTGATTCGGTGATTCATTCAACTAAAAATAACCGATTGACGCAAAAAATAACTGATTGATTATTCGGTCATGGAAACCATTCGGTTATCCCATCACTACTTGCACTGACAATCGTCTGCTCCTTACACATCTGTCTGCTATGCTTGCTATGTCACAATAGTTTGTGATTGGGTGATTAGTAACCATGACAACTTAAGTAGTCCATGACTGGGTGATTACTGATTAGTCACCATGGCAACTTTAGTAGATTGTGGTTGGGTGATAAGTAACCATGGCAACTTGATGAATGTGTGGATGAAGAGAAACCAAGAAAGAGTACCTAGAAGAATAAAGAGAAATAAGAAGTGATGTTTAAGGTCATTGTTATCTTTATCTTATTTGATGACTGTTGCTGTTATCCTTAATACTTAAGGAGACGTAGAAATTGGCTAATTCAGGAATTCGCTAACTCAGTCATGTGTCGGAACTGGCTAACTCTGGAACTGGCTGACCGTCACAGTCAGGAATTGGCTAACTCTGGAACCCGCTAACTTGATTATGTCCCACGGCGGAATTCGCTTACTCTGGAAGTCGCTAACCCGGCCGCGCACACTGCACGGAGCGTTGCCAACCTAGTAAGACGAAATAATCGTACACTGCCGCATTTCAAAATGTCAGTGTTAATAAAGATACAGTAAATGTTATTGTTTATCAATTCCTGTTCAATTATATTAATGTTGTTGTTATCAATTCCACTTTTAACAGCTACCTAGCTCAAAGTAATTAAAAATCAATTTTAAAAAATCATTAAGTGATTTTTTATTTAATTGTACCACGGCCAATTAAATGATTATGATTTTGTTCTTAAATTATAAATGCCATTATTATAGGGAAATAATAGAATATGAAAAATATTGATCATCCAGTAGTAGCAATTAAACCTCAATGAAATTAAGCTATAATACACGCAAGTTCTCAAACCCGGAAAACCAATTTCATCGTGATGTTGTAATAAACAAAAGCAATTTCATAACTAATTCATAGATTTAAAATTAAAGGTTCGTTGTTGAATCGTCCAACTAACGTGCAAAAATACAACATAAGCTACGTTTCATAACTATTTATAGAATAGCTGTAAATCTAGGCCTAAGGGGCGGTTTGGGAGCTCGGTATTAGCGCTAGTCCGCGACTAAATCCGGATATTTCCGGTATTTTAGGCTGCCGCCTCAAAAACGGGTTTGTGAGCTCGGGATCACTAAGGCGCGCGCCTAACTTGTGCAGGGATAATCTCGCGCCTAAATATTGTTGGTTTGGGAGTCAAGTAGACTTAGGCGCCAGCCTAAGAGATAGTCTCGGTGGGTTTGGGAGACCAATTTCGGGACTAAGAGATATGTTTTCGTCATAAAAATCAGTGAGTTTAGTCCCCAACTTTAGTCCTGCCAGGGGGCAGGTCTAAGTCGACATGCCGGTATTAGCTCATTAGCAAGTTAATTGTTTACATATTAACTAAAAGAATGTTATATTGGAATTCGTTATTAAATTCCGAACATTTTCATTACTCTCTAAGTATATTTGATAAAACTTTTTTTTTAGTTTTCTGTTGTTCAAAACAAAACGGAAATCTTGTAGAAAGCTAAATTTAACAAAAGATTATTTGGGTTTTGTTTTTACTGTTAACTGCAATACAAATATGGACCCTAAATAGAATTTATTTCAACTTGAGAGTTTGGCTATAAGCACCCGTACCTTAATTATAAATATTTTATTAGTAAGGAAATAATTAGCAACCACATGCATACCCCCCACTCACCCCCTACGAAAGAGTGAAGAGATGGTAAACAAAACATTAAAAAACTGCAAATAGCTCACAGTCATAATCGTTATCTTTTAATTGTGTTGTGATAGAGCTCAGTTCAGTGTCATTGACCAAGTGCTAGTTACATCAAAATGGAGTACCTAGATTATTTGGAGTATAAGAAAATATATACAGTATATCAATAACCCGCTACAGAAAACCTGCAGACTAAGCGAATTTCCAAATAACCTAATAGAGCTTTCAATTAAATTTATTTAAATAACTTAAGGTTTAACAAGCACCCGAAACTACCTACGGTGTAGGTATGCTGCTACAGGGAGGGTAATAAAGTGTGTTTTTAACAAAATATTAACAGCTTTATAAAAAATAAATAAATTTGCCAAGTTTCATAAAAATATATCCATAAACGACCACACTAGAACAGTTAACTTATTCTCCATAAGAATCACATGGGAATTTAAAATTTACAATTTTACCAATAGTCTCTGTAGCCAATAACCGTACAAAACATTTTAAGATATTAATTTGTTTTTTATACTCTTTAAAATACTCTTTACTCTTTAAATTACTCTTTAAAATATTTTAAAGACAAAGATTTATGTTATAGGGGTTAAAATTGAGAAAAAAACTATTTTTATCCTATACAACTCCGGGTTCCCTTGGTCTGATCATGCTCGTTCGGGAACTCATTAAGGAGAATCGCGCCTAACACTTTCATGCCAAATTTTATAAAAATTAGACAAAAATTACTTAAGTTATCACGTTTATGGACGTATATATAATACAATTATATATAGACTATACATATATAAAATTTTGAACGAACAGTGTTTTTGGCCTCTAGGGACATCAAAATGGAAAAGTTTATCGGTCCCGGAACTAAGTGCTACCTACGGTAATAGATTAGTTAATTAATAGATTACCCTAGGAAAATTAGTTAAAAGAGTGTCATGTAAAAAAAGATTTTAAATTGACAACAATTTTTTCTAAGTACTGTATTAAAAGATTTTTTTACATTTACCTTGGCTTCACACAATCATAACATCTGCAATTACTTTTTATTATTTTTTTTTGTCAATACCCCTATATTATACTGGGAAATTACTGTTTAATTTTGAAGCTTTTTATTGCATGAAACCGAGTTTCCGATGTTAATCATATGTTGCTCTGTACGTATTTATAAGGTGTAGTACTTAAAAGACAACTAGTAGTACTTAAGGACAACTGATTAAATAATTATAAATCGTAAAGTGAAAATAAAGTTAGATCTTAAAAGAATTTAATATAAACAATTACGGTTTTTCAGTCATTGGGATGTAAAACAACGATCTTACAAAACTACATTTTTGCAATGGTACAATGTAGAAACATACACCATAGTCTACTAATTAGCCACCATTGTTATACCAAGATAAAATTGTATCCATCTTCAATGTTCATCTTTTGTTGTTGTCAACGGTAACAGGTTCTGCAATGGCCATTGCCAACGTCAAAACCTGAATTCCCCGCGATTCCCTGTCCATCTAGCCGCGCTGCAACTTAGGCGCGACTATACTTGATCTACGACCATTTCAACTTAGGCGCGAGCTCCCAAGCCTGGTTTCTGGTCTGGGGACTAAAGTTAGGCGCGTACTAGCTGGGCTCGAGCTCCCAAACCGCCCCTAATAGTTTAAACCAAAGCATTGTAGGCCTACTAGTAAAAGCTAGTTGCCTAATTAATTCTAAAATTCGTTGAATTGTTGAGTAATAATGTTACATGTTTTAATAACAGTTTTTAGATTGTAAACCTAAGCCCCACTAGTAAATAATAGGAGAATATATAATATTTTTATATTAAAACGTGACAGGGTTATTTTATTTCACGATTCATAATCAACGACTTGACGGATATTCCTGATTTTAGGGTTAAGTTTCCTTTATATTACTTTTACAATTGAAATATACTATACCAAGCCATTGCTCGGTTCACCGTTCCCCGGTACTGAGCTACTCAATAGACAATAGCTTTGTTGGATAATATCAGCTAATTTTAGCTATGGCCACCATTCATAAAAATGTAACAAACAAGAATGCCTGGGTCCATTTAGAACCATAAAAACTCAAGACTTTTTTTAAAGTACTGAAAGATGTAAAATTAATATAAATTAAACAAAATTAAGAGGGGTATACGATAACAGAAATATACAAATTGTATTTTTGCATAGACTAATTTTTAATTCAATACATAAATACATTACCACTTTATAATGTATTGATTAATATTTATTTTAATTCAATAGCTCTATTTGAAAATATATTTAACACTACTAAAATGTGTTTCTGTAATGACGTTTAACGTGTAAATTTTATCGGGAAGTTAATCTTCAAAATTCTAGGCATAAAGTCTTCGGCAATTACTGGAGCTTTTTTTACAATGTCTAATTGTTGGTTGCCTAAAATAGGATAGACTATTACATTTACATTACAATACTATTTCAATTTTTGTTAATAGATTATATGTTTCCTAATAACATAATGTAACAACGTTTAAATTCCTTTTCTTTGCTAAAGTAAA